AACGAGCTCCAGGTGCGCCACTCATCACGCACAGGTGTTGTGCTTCTGTGATCAGTGTGACAGCGGTGTTTCCAGGGCGACGCTGATCTGGAACCGGGGTACTCGCCACATTCCCCTAGGCGTCGCCCTGGTCCTGTGGGGAAACACACAACTCGTTGTGGGGGTATTACGGGGGGGGAATTTTTGGTTACCTGCCAGACCTGCCCAACCGGACCAGCCCCGGGAGAGACCGTCCGCATTCCCGTGATCGGCCCCGGCCCGATGTTGTACCTGCTGGTTAAACCTCTCCACCAAGCCATCTGTCTGCGGGTGGTAGACCGACGTCCTCATCTGTTGGACCTTGAAGAGGTGACAGAGGTCCGCCATGACCCGGGACATGAAGGGGGTACCCTGGTCATCTGTATTGTAATTATAGTTTGTCCAATTATTAAATCAATATTTTAACTTAAAAATGACTTCTTATGCTATAAATACCTTATATTTCAGGAATGTTTTAGCGATTCAAATGTAGTTTCTGAATTTGAATTTGAAGACAGCAGACAGTATACAGAATTTTTACCTAGAAAAGAAACGTTTTCAGACATAGAATGATGACTTGACAGTGCCTGTGCTACAAGGTTTTTTAGGCCTTACAGACAGACAAAAGAATCTATTAGAAATGCCACACTGTACAAATGCAGAATTTCTACCTAGAAAAGAAACGTTTTCAGACTTGGAATGATTGCTTGACAGTGCCTGTGCTACAAGTTTTATAGGCCTTACAGACAGACAGACAAAATAATCTATTAGAAATGCCACACTGTAGAAATGGGTACTTAATTTATATTCTTTTTAATCTGTTATTAGGTTAACTTTCATTTTATGGAACAAGGTTATCAAAATACTCTTACCTGTTAAATTTCTCTGAATTATAATTCATTAAATTCTACTTCCTGCAATTTAATTTATCTTCCATTTCAACTTCCTGTGGGGCACGGTCAATTTAAATTCCAGCTCATGAAGGAACCGATTATTAAATGCTGAAGATGGCTTATGTTGATGTCTTATCATATTCGTTGTATATGCACTTGCAAGCTTTATTAAAATTATCAGTATTTGTACTGAATTGCTAATAATTGGTACCATTCATTCCTATGCACATTTATATTGATATTTCAAATCGACAGATTACCTGTCCACATCAATGGCAGGCAGCAGAGTAGCACCATTCATATTTGACCCTCAGAATTAGTACAAGAAACAGAGCCTGTATGCCATATTCTTAAAGTTCTCCACTTGACTATTTTGCTTGTTCTCACCCTCCTTTCCCTCTTCTTTCTGCAGGCTTTCAGAACTCAGAGTGATATGGCTGGCATTCTCCGCAAGCTCGCAGCGTGCATCCCCTGCGTGTGGATCTTCCTCATGCTTTTCGACCCCAGCTTGCAAACCAGGTAGGATGACTCATCCCCACCTAGCCGCACTCTACCTTTTCTCTGTTCCCCATGTTGCAGGCTCTAGGGATGCATTGCAGCTAATACATTCATTAATAAGGTTGTATTACTGTGCAGGGGCTTTTACGATCTGCAAAATGTCATTGGAGCCAACCGTAGCTGGCTGTAAATCGCTCACACAAACTGCCATGAATTGGATTTTCGGTGGTGGAGCAGGCTTGGTTACAAGTGTGACTCAATAAACCTGGAAAGAAACTCACGCTGGAAGAACCTGAGGGATTCCGAGACGTGTTTAGCCTAGATTGCGTTGTTGTGATGCCAGTTAGTTTTCACTGCTCATTAGCTCACTCGTACATGTCAGAATTGAGAAGGTACGTACAGACAGAGATTTTGAGCTTGCAATTAAGAGCCAGAACTAGTGGTCTTCTAAAAATTAAGTACAGCATTAAATCATAAAAAATGACCCCTGCCATGACATACATCTTTCTCCACCCATTCCAAGTGTGTCTCAAGTGTGTGTTCATAAAGGGTCTGATATACTTCAAGCAAAACAGAAGAGCAAACTGGTGTGATGTCATTTCGAACAAAATCTTGCAATTGTGAAGTTCATTTGGTGTTGGCCAAATAATATTTTGTTCAGCCCTTTGGTTTAAGACACAGGGCCAGAGCCACAGAGGGGTGTGATTGGGCGTCACTCCCTCAACCGGGCTGTCCTGCCCCCTCAATCAATATGATTGTGAAAAGGGATTTTAATGATTACAAAAAAAAATAGATAAATAATAATCTCAACTGCATTGGCTTACTAGCATTAAATGTAGGAAAGGTGATTTCAGAGAGGTTAGCAATAGCAGGCTAGCTTTGAAAGCATAAGATCCCACCCTCGCAAAAAAAAAATAGATAAATAATAATCTCAACTGCATTGGCTTACTAGCATTAAATGTAGGAAAGGTGATTTCAGAGAGGCTAGCAATAGCAGGCTAGCTTTGAAAGCATAAGATCCCACCCTCGCTGCAAATCACTCTTCAAAGCCATGCCTCCTCCAAAACACATGAACACACACAGGCAGACCAGAGACTGACCAGCGACACGATGAGAGACAGCGTTGGTGGAGGGTTGAATGCAACGCTGTCAGATTACCTCATGTCTCATTCACCGGTAAGAAAACATTACAGTACAAAGCGCATAATATTACAATAATAATACCTTCCATTTCTCGCTCGGTCTGCAATTGCGTAATGGAACTCGCTGATGACGTATCATGTCTACGTGAATAGGGTGCGCAGAGGTTTGCAAATACATACGTTGACAGGCAGGTAGGACAGCCTATCGTAGCCCTCGGACCGAGGAATATGATTGGACGAACATTTTATAGTCCTACACCTTCCATAGACAATATAAATACATATAAATACATTTAGACCACTTAACTTAGTGATTGGTATCGGGATGTGAAGAGACTTTTAACCAGCATAACAAAAAATGTTTTTAAACCAAATCACCTACCCTGCCTTTAATATTAGGTTACTATATCAATATTTTAGTTATTTCCCCCCCATATAAGAGGGCTAGATAATTGGTTGTAATTAGTTGATTATTTCACTTTATTGTTTTGTCACCGGTTGCAGTTCTGGCTGTTCTAACTTACCATAATATTATGCATCTGTTCAGGACAAAATGAGCGTTATGTTAGTAAAATATGTGCTTTATAGTAATGTAGTGGTGGTATCATGGTAACTTGTCTGTAATTGTGTATCTAAAACTTTTGGTGCTCTAAAGCGTGTTTATGTAATGGATGTAGAGTCAAATTTTCAAATATGTTGGCCTAGGCAATTTTCCTTTAGTAAGTCAGGGATAATGTACATCAAGCCCGTTGTTATCACAGAATAACCCCCGACAGGGTGATCAGGACCCCGATGCGAAGCAGAGGTTATTACACGGCTACTTGCCACATAAGTAAATAATTAGACAGAAAATATTGATTTGAGTTGAAATATTTGAATGCAAAGCTTCCGTGAAGACAGCAGTTGCAAGCAAGCGACAAGTTCAAACTAGACGGACATTTAAGGGATACAGTGCAGTCATACACTTATTACAAAACATTTCACCACATAAATAATTATGGCGATAAAATATATTGATTTAAGACATAAATGTCTTAAAATCTTACCAGTTTGTTAGTTATCTTATAATCCATTACAGTGTACAAAACATTCAGCTTATTGTTATCAGTTATTTGTTATCAGCTTTTACCGGTTGTTATCGAGGTATAACATACCTCGGAATGTTGCGACTGACCAATCAGAATCAAGTATTCCACAGAGCCGTGTAATAAGTAATATTATTCAATACTCTGCCATCTGTAGGTTGATTGGTAGATTTTAGTTCCATATCTGTAGTAAAGACAGGTTTGTTTGCTCCTGACAAATATGTGGGCCATTTAATGTGTACCTGAAGATACTTTGTGAAGATACCCCTTTCGTTACTTCAGACACCCCTTCTTTAATGCTGCATTCGCATCGGCTCTCGTGAGACACCAGTTAAAACATGAACACACTGGAGAGCTACTCGTTGCAATTTAAGTTGTAATTATAATTTTGTAATTATAATATAACTGTCACGCCCCTGGACTATCTTTGTTGTGTTTTCCCTCCCCATGTGCTCCGTGACCCAGTTTCTCCCTCACGTAGATTGTTCATTGATGTCAGGTGTGTCTCGTCTTATCCCTCGTTATCCTGTGTATTTAGCCCGTCTGTTCAGTCTATGTTTGTCGGGTCTACTTTGTTGTCTACGTGTGTTTGCTCCAGTTCCTGATGTGGATTATCCCCTGTGTTTCTATGATTAAAGACTGTTAATGCCACTTCGTGTCTCCATCGTTCCTTTCGACAGCATAGTGTGACAGAAGACCCAACCTTCAAAATAGTTTATTTGCATCTTCCCCTTCGTTTGTTTTCTGTGTTTTTTACAGTGTTTGTTTTCCGTTTTCCCCGTGTTCCCCATGGATCCCCTCGCTGCCAAGTTAACCTCCCTAGCCCGCAAGGACCTTTCCCTGTTGGAGTATGTGGTTGAGTTCAGCCAGCTCGCCGTTTTAATGGCGTTTGACGACACTGCACTGAACTCACTGTTCTGGATCGGGGCTAATTACCACCGCCCCATCGACCTCCCAGAGACCACCGGACTAAGCTGGAGAGAAGCTATCATCCGGTGTCTGGAGAGCGTCTATCTCCCATCCAGAATACAGCCAGACCCAGAGCCCTGCCCACCATCTCCCCGCGACCGGCGAGCCATCGCCAGAGAGACCGACAGTGCTGAGGATCGCCCCGGAGCCCGAGCCTGTGACGTCAGACCAGGTGTGAGAGCCGGCTACAGAGCTCGCCACTGGGGAGATCGTCATGGACAGTGAGAGCACGGAGAGGAGCTTCGCCCCCTGCACCATGGCTGAGGGTGAGCAATTAATGGATCTGGGAATGTGGAAGGCTGAAAGGGCTCCTGTTCTTGAGTTCAGCCCGGAGAGGGCTCCTGTTCCTGAGTTTAGCCCGGAGGCTCATAAATGCAAGCCAACCCACCCGCTCCTGCCTCCTTCACCGCTGTCGTCTGGCAGCCCCTCTGCTCACCCTCAGCCCTCCATCTGTATGGTGGGAGCTCTGCGGGTCTGCCATCCTCAATCGTCACCGTGGCTGGAGGATCCACTGTCTCCGTCTCCAGCCTCTGAATCCGCCACGGCCCATAGACCACTGGCTCCACCGGGCTCCCTCGTCCCTCCGACTCCGCCTTGGTCTGTCGTCGACCATCCGTCGCCTCGGGACTCCACTCCTCCGGCTGTGCCTCGTCCCTCCGTCCCTCTGGCTCTGTCAGGCTCCTCCTTCCCTTCGGCTCCTCCTTGGTCCTCTGTCGCTATGGCTCCACTGTGGCCTTCTGGATCTCCGTCTCCGCCTCGGGCTCCTCTGCCAACTGCTCCGCTGCGATTGGTCGGCCCCATGGAGTCGTCAGCCCTTCCTCCACCATGGCTCCTCCCTCCGTCGGCTCCACCTCCTCCGGCTGTGCCTCGTCCCTCCGTCCCTCTGGCTCTGTCAGGTTCCTCCTTCCCTTCGGCTCCTCCTTGGTCCTCTGTCGCTATGGCGTCGCCTTGGCCCATCGGCTCTCCGTCTCCGCCTCGGGCTCCTCTGCCAACTGCTCCGCCGCGATTGGTCGGCCCCATGGAGTCGTCAGCCCTTCCTCCACCATGGCTCCTCCCTCCGTCGGCTCCACCGTGGGTCGATGTTTCGGCTGTGCCCTGGGTCCCACCTGGCACTGCCTGCTCCAAGTCCCTCCTGTCTCCTCCCTAGCTCCTCCCTCCTTCATCACCTCCCTGGTCTCTGTCTGCCAGCCCCCTCCCGGGTGTCTGTCCCTTTCTTGAGCCTCCTCCCAAGTTCCCACCCGTCCCTCCTTCTGTTGTTGTTACGGCGTGGGACGCGCCTTCCGGGAGGGGGGAGTAATGTAACGCCCCTGGACTATCTTTGTTGTGTTTTCCCTCCCCATGTGCTCCGTGACCCAGTTTCTCCCTCACGTTGATTGTTCATTGATGTCAGGTGTGTCTCGTCTTGTCCCTCGTTATCCTAAACATCCTGACTTAAACAGTTTCGAAATGCAGATCTGGCGTAAACATATCCACATCTCTGTGTTCAGATGCTTTCTTAACTACTCTTTTGTCACAGCTGTCATTGTTTGTTGTGGTTTTGTTATGTTATTAAGAGGATAGCGCACGGCACATATTTAAATATTCTATATATTCATCTATATACCAGCATTGGGGTATGCAGTGTGGGTGGCATCGGAATACATGCAAACAGTATATCATTGTTCAGCCATTTGGAGCGTCTTTTCCCCCTCGAACGAAGAACAAAAATAATTTAGCAGTGAGCATATTAGGCCTTAACAGTGGCCTAAATCCAAAGCCATCATACCAGATCATCTCTTAGTAAGTGTTTAATAGAGAACGTCTCAGGTTACTTATGTAACCATGG